AATTCGTTCATTAGCTTCATCATTAAAAGTTATCTTCGATTCAGACTTATGCAAGTTATTCTTAGTTTGGGACCTAGTTACTGCGAATATGTTTTTTGAAAACTTCCTGAGATCTGATGATTCAAGTTTTATTCTTGATAACACGTCAGCTGTTGAGTTTTCGGCACCCCTAACGTAATTAATCGTGAATTGGTAGTCTTCAAGTATAAAAACGTTGTTAATCTAGATGAAGGATTGTTTGTACCAAATAAATATATTAAAGGACGGTGGTCGGTGAAAATGTGAAATTTGCAACCAAACAATTAATAAGGTCTCAAATGCTTTACACTCCAAACAATGGCTAAAAGCTCCTTCTATTGTTGAGTAATTGATTTTCGCTTGGTTCAACGCTTTGGTGGGGCTTATGATTACCATTACACAAAATTGCACCTACTGCATATCCGCTAGCGTTGATCTTTAAAATAAATTCATTTCCCGGAGAAAAATCTGGTAATTCTAAAATTGGCGGTTCGAATAATTTTTGCTTTAAATTATCAAATGCGGTCTGGCAAGATGCGTCCCAAATTAGTAGACTTCCTAGTTCATCGATTTATTGGAGTTGCAATGTTGGCGAAATTTGGAATAAATTTACGGTAATAAATTAGCGAAAGCAACAAATCATTTTTTGGTACAGGATAATTTTGAATAGCTTCCAATTTACTAGGATCAGGAGAAATTTCCTTGGGTGTAATCATGTGACCCAAGTATACGATTTTGTTTCTTAAAAATTCACATTTTAATTAATTTAATTTTAAAGTAACCTCCCTGAATCGTTGTAGTAATCGTTGAGTCGATTATATAATTTTCTAAACTGTTTCCAAATACTATATAACGTCATCGAGATAAACGAACCATGATTCATAGTTTAAACCAGATAGTGCAATTCTCATTACCTACACGTGAAAATGCGCTGGGATTAATTTTTAACCCCATAGGCCATGTCTTCATTTGAAATTGACCTTTGGCCGTAGTGAAGGCAGTAAATTTTCTGCTAGATAAAATCCCTGTGATAAATCTAAATGCGTAAAATATTTTTTCTATTTCGGTGTCACAATGATGATTTTGTACAACTGTTTTCGGCCGAAAACAGTTGTACAAAGACAGTGATTATAGTCGTTTTTTTTGGTAACTCATCTCTTAAGTTGGCAGTTACTAGTTTTAGTACAAGTAGGTACTTCGTTGGGTACTTCCATGTTTGAACTTCAAAATGTCAGTCTTACTACGCTGCCAACCTAAAACTTAACGGCATAAAAAGTGTTCCCAACATAAAACATGTTAGTTCTAATGTTCCCTATAGTTTCTGATAATGATTTTTTTAATTAAATTAAAGCACCGAAATAGAAAAAATAGTATGAAAAACGCGTGTTACAATGCTTTATTGTAATACTCCTATCTTGCGGACACTCGTGGCTACGCTTCGCGTCGCCACTCGTGCCACAAGATAGTCGTATTACAATAGGTCGCATTGTAACACTTGTCTTTCAATATACTATTGCGGAACCGAGGCGTCATAGATCTCTGTTATAATAGGTAAGGGAAATTTGTCGTCCTCAATTTGTTTGTTTAGTTGGCGGTAATCCATTACTATTCGTCATTGTTTGTTACCTTCGACACCAGAATTTTTTGGAACAATTAATAATGGTGAAGACCACTCGGATTTACTTTCCTCTATTATTCCATCTTTAAACGTAAACAGGACTGTAGCTATAGGTTACTTACCGTAACTTGATTGTTTTCTAAGAGAAACACATCGGCAAATTTTGCACAAATTTTATGAATTGAATCCTTTTCTTCCATATTTAAATTTTTGACATTAAGTGTATCGTCTATCTAATAATTTATCCACTCGATCTACACAAATTTCGATACCTTCAAAATTAAATAAATTGAATTTCGATAATTTAATTACTGCCGGTTTAAAATTCCTAACTTGTACTTCTTTATCGGTCGTGTTCTTACGGGTATAATACGATTATCATTGGGTTTTACTATAATTCCGGTTGTGAATAGTGTTATTTGTACAACTAGTTTTGAAAGTGATACTTTTTTTCATGAATTTGCAGTTTGATTAATGTGGGCGAATCCATAATAACCCACAATTGAATAATTTGATTGACATTCGCGATTTACTGTCACTCAAAAGTAGATGCTATCGTTCATAGACAGGATTAAACTCCATGGAAACGCATAGTAAAAATCGTGAAAAAAAGTACCACTTTCCATACGATTTTTCGTTAAAACCAGTTCGATAATTTCAACACTATGTAAACAAAGACCTTTTGAAATCTCATTTGGCAATACGACACATTCGTCAGATTCCTCTATTTGGAAATATTTTATAATTTCCCACCGAGGTGGTATGCATGTTATTGTTTTATATATATTTAATTTTCATTTGATTAATTAGAAAATGAGTAGGTGTACATTTGCTTGAAAACGTACGAGAAAGTGCTAACGAAGCTTTTAAGTCTCTAATTCCAACTAAATCCAAAGTTCGATATGAAAAATATTATGCCGATTTTCAGGACTCGGGAAAAGACGATCAATTTCTCATGTGCATCAGAAACTAACGCATATGATTGACGTGTAATGCTTTTTTCTAGGTAGCATCCGTTTTTGGTTTATTTGGGGGTACACTATGCGATGAAATTTACAATTTAGGCGCAAATAATGTTAAAAGTGAAGATGTCCTTATTGTTACAATTAACAAATCAAAAACCTATACCTAAATCTCGATTTTTCATTCTCATCCCACAGGACTCAATTAATTATGTGGAAATCGTCAAAAAATAAATGGGTTTGAGACCACAACATACGAAACAGAACCATTTCTTGGTTTCTACAATTGCGGTAAATGTAGTACTCAGAGGATTAATTTTTTTTCCTAATAAAGTTATAACTATAGATGTGTTTAATGGTATAGTAAAATATTACACTACTCATTTGTCATATTAACATACTCACTTGTCATTTTATATATCAATGTGGTTACGATGTTGTTTACAAGCGAAATTTTTGACAATTTAAGGACGATTATTATACCGCCTGAAACCGATAAAAATAATAAACTTTTGTTTAGGTACTGAAATCTTAAACAATTTAACCCATTTATATTTTATATACATTCACTGCAAATATCCTTATTAGGAACGAAAAAATGTTTCTGCAGTATTGAAATTACCTGTATTTGAAGTGGTGGAATTATTTGCTGAGCTTTAGCTATGGCATGCATTGATATATCTGTTGTTCGTGTCTTTAGGGGGCATAACCCTTGACAAAGAAAGGCTGGGTGTGTAATTGTAGGATCTACCTCTATACTAAGTGTTGTAATTTCTATTGAAACTTTCACGTGCGTAATTTTTCCCTACGTATTGATGATTCGGTTGAGTATACTTTTTGAAGTTTTGATTGATTGATTGATTATACGACTTTCGGGGTTGATAATTTTGAAATGTATTGGAATTATTTCCCCTATTTATTAAATTGATATACATTGGGAGTTGATGGGGTAGGTTTATTTAACTCTTCATTTTTAGCAACGGTTTTTACATCTTTCAGCTTCTCGTAATTTCGTATCTTGTAATTTCTCAAACCATTATAAAATGCATATCTTTTCGTTTACCGAAGTACCGAACGTAAACATTTTAACAAGTCGTTATCGTTTCCCGCCTGTGCCAAAGTTAGATCACCTAGAAGTTGCTCAACCTTTTTGGCAAATTCGTCTATACTTTGGTTTAACTGTTTACTAGAGTGTAGCTGATGGGATAAAGCAGTGGCTGAATTGAATTATTGTTTACTACAACCAACCCTTTTATTTTGTTCTTGAAGATGACGGAAACGTCGAAACGAGTCGCGTTTTTATAAGATTATAGACAACCATTATTAAATTACATGGGGAAGATGTAATCTGTTTATTTAATAGTTTTCATAGTTTCAATTATCGATCCAAATGACCTATCACAAGAAATGAATTTAATAAACCAACAAATGTATTAAAATAAACTCCCCTTTGAACCCACATTTATAATTTTAATTGTTATTTTCGTAACTTACGCCTACAAAAATAACATTTTGCCAATTAAGTCTTTTAAACCCCTAACATAAAGTTAACAAAATCGAGCCCTAGGATTTGTATTTAAAGATGGAGGAGTTATAGTAGCCCTTAACACAACATCAGCAGATTCCTTAGATAAGAATTCTAGCTATGGTGGCCAGTTCGTATTTTCAATGTAACGTTGTCAGATAAATGAAAGTTGTTTTTTAAAAAATCGTTTTACATAAGAGAACCACATAAGTTACTCTTGTCTTAATGGCCATCATTAAATGTTCATTGCATAATATAATATTTTACAACAGTCCAACGTTAAAAAAGAAAAATTTTGACTAAGTTCTTTGATACGTGTAAGTGAGTCTAACTTCTAGTGGAACGTTTCTAGCTGCACATCGACTTTAAATTATTTCATCAGATAAGCTCTAGGTATTTAACATTACGTCAATTATTGTGCAGTACACGTCCATTAAATACGGAATTGTCAGTTTTATCCAACATGTTCACGACTCCAGCATGACAACGATATCAATTCATGAATAATATAGTTAATCTGACGCTTTGAAGTGATTCAACTTGCAGCGTGTTCCTGTTGACGTGGGAGAAGTTGCAATGTTTGTGGCAAAATCGATGACATACATCTCCATGCAATTTTCGGAACGGATGCGACAACGACAAGCGGTAATTATAAACACGAGATAGGGAGACGTGTTCTCCATCAGTAAGAGGTGTCATATTGCTCGAGCGACAGGTTCAAAATTACAGGTGTACCTACATGGGAAATTTCCACTTTTGTAGTTTCCCAGAAACGAACCGAAAGACATAGCTCAAAAAACTCCCCACCCGTTTGGGAAAGTCTTGCCCCTGGCATTGCTCGATTATTAGAATTAGCGCTATTTCTTGTTTGTTGCAGGATCGATTTAAGTTTACAATACTGAACGCGGTGCTGGTGGCAAAAAATGGCGACCTCGCAGCCCTTGTGGACTCTGAAGCGCGTGTAATGCTCTTATACTGCACCCGAGAGGAAGCGATAGATATTTTAACGGCCGCAAGAGACTTTCAACTTACCGGCGAAAATTATGTCTGGGTTGTCACGCAAAGTGTGATTGAAAATCCTCAACAGGCGCCTTATCAATTCCCAGTCGGTATGTTAGGTGAGTAATCCAATACTTTTCCATTGCTGGCCTAGGGATAAAGGTGTAAAAGTAATTTATGACGGTAGTTTTGTAATCTCCGGCAAATAGAAATGTGAGGTTAGATTGGTAATTTAAAAGACGCATGTGACGTCCTTAAGCTCGAACGCAGTTTAATACTGCTGTTGATAAAGTAAAAGTTTAACGACTGAAAGGCGCAAGGGGCGAATTAGTTTCTTCGAGGCAACAACAAGAAGTTAAGGGGAGATTGCGTTCCTTTTTATAGCTACTCGCCCAATTACAAAGTCGGGCAATGGGACAGTTGCAATATTATTTTAATCTGGCCAAAAAAGATACAAATGGGATCGTCTGAAAACTATTAGAATGACCATAGTAGCCGTCTAAGAGACATAAGCAATCTTCTACGTTACCTTCGTCTGGTAAAATGATGCTGAATTAAGGTGGAACTGGATTAGAATAGTATAAGGAGCAAGTACTGTATAATTTTTTTTATTTTTATTTTATTTTATTATCCCTCTCTTGTTTTGGGCCCTCAACAGGCATGCGCCCAATTACAGAGTGACCCGCATAATGCTATTTAGAGGTGCCTCTGCAGAAGGTTTTAAGATGGTCTATACTACTCCGGTATTTACCTTACGAATTAGGAAAACTGCAGGAAAACCTAATTCGGAGTAGCCGGTAGAATGTTCGGAACTGGCCTAAGGTAATATCCATCTCCGCCACAGATGAAAAATTCACCTCAACCCAGGTTCGAACACCCGACCTTCGGATTTATAACCCAATGCTCTTACCACTGAGCCATAAATCCGAATAATCAATGATCAATTATACACGCGTTTTTTATAGTATTTTTTATTATACCTGCATAATCATTTAAAAATAAGGCAAATAAAATAAAATCATATTGACGTTTATACACGAATTCATTTCTAATTAAGTGGGCAGAGTAAAATTGAAATTTGAAGAGGTTGATAAACTAAATTTTTTGCAAGGGAGGGCCGAACCTAAAAACTAACATTAGACGACGGTATAAGCAACGATGAAACTTACGTATAAAAAAGTCAAAAGGTCAAAAGACGATATCCTAACTAATAAAATACCCAATTAAGGGCTTTGAAATTGGAAACCATCTGCACTTCCAAAATCAGTGCTCGGTTTAGCTAATCTTACCTTGTCATCGTTGACCCAGATCCTGGAATTGCATGTTAAACTAAGAGCCGATGGATCCTTCTTTGCTCTTCTCGCTCGACACAGCCATGATGAGCAGTTTTGGAGTTTACGGTTCTTAGCAAAGAGGTACATGTATCCTTCATAGATTATGTATCTCTTTCCCCTTTTCGTTGTACCGAATTCCATTGTTACGCGCCCGTATAGTTTGCACCGCCTAAATCTCATATCCATTATCAACTTTTTGTAACAAATCAAAATTCACCTTTTAGCCTCAGGGACAAGTCCATTTTTGATGATATTTTCCTTGCTTTTGGCATTTTAATGTGGCACTTAAATATTTATGTTGGTTAAACAATAGCCATACAATTTGTAGAGGAATAATTTTTTTAATAGTATTTATGAGGCAAGAATTCATACGTACAATCCTATGTGCCTTTTTAAATGGAATGGACCATATCAAAGCAGTAGAGATATTAGGTCACTTTAATAGCATCCATATCACTCAAAATCTGGAATGTAGTACTTATTTTATTGTAATCTCCGTATTAAACATGAGAACACTTGTTAAAGGTACCATGAGTGAAAATTTATTTTAAAAAAACAAAAAAAAGGTAAAAAGACACTCATCTGTGATGTAAATTGTCCATGCACTCATGTTCACAAGTAGACGGATGCTGCTAAACGCTGGTATCGGTCTATCAGCAAAACTGTCACCTGACATTTCTTAAATCTATTTACCCAGTTTTATTGTACCAATTCACAATCAAGGTTTTTTTCATTTGGAAACCTTTTAGCACGTACAAATGATATTGCAATAGGAATATAAAAGTCTAAATAAAATTTTAACAATTATTATTTGTTAATACCTGCTGAAGTTAAGTTTCCTACTTCTCTAACCTTCGATGTAGTCCATTTAAAGGACACATAACGAAATACGTATGTATTGTCTTAAAAGAATCTCAAGTAAATTATAATCATATTTGAACGTAAAACAAATAGATCCTTGAGAGTTTCCGATAAAATTAAAGAGATAAGAGTAACGAAAAAAGCAAAAAATGTTGATAAATATCGTGAAAAAAATTGATCTTACTATAAATTATATGGCTATTATTTAAATAATATACTGAAATTGTGAAGATCCATGACTCTGAATGGGGTGCTTAAGAAGCTTCGGAGAAATAACACCAAAATCTACCCATTTATTATTATAACAATTTTTATGGGAAGATTTTGGTGTTATTTCTCCGAAGCTAAATAATATACGGTGGTGCATTAGAAACCATACATTGCTATTTCTGTAAATTAAAATAATTTTCAAAAAAACGCTTTGGCACGTCAAATTGATCATGGAAGGAAACAGTGTCTAAAATAAAACTTGCTCACTAATGTCTTTGTCTCGCATCGCTGACAGTGCAACCCTTAAAATCTTAAATGATGCATCGTTGGTAAGGTCGCCCATTTCTGAATTGGGATATGCAATTTTTTTGGTTTAGTTGTTTCATTTCCAGCGCATTCGACGTTGCAGGTACAAGTTTTTTCTTTTTTATACCACTTGCAACTGCATAATTTTGACGCACGATCGCATTAGCTTCTATTACATAGTGATCGGCCCGACATCATTCCAATGACATAAACAACAGCGTGCCCTCAACTTACTTTTAAAATATTTCGAAAATATCAAATCTAAAAAATTATAGTCTCAACAAATTCAGAGAAGGAAAGCCTTTCCAATGATGTCCTATCTTCCTTGTTGCGCAATTGCCAATGTTAAGGGTTTTGCTTTAGTACTAGGTATGCCATACAAAAATTAAAAAGGAAGTATATAGGTACTTAATAATTACAAACATTTAAAAGAAAAAATCATCAATATCGACCTGTTCCTAAAACGTTTCAAGATTTTCAAAACCCTTACTGTTTTGATTATTAACAATCTCTTAAAAAATGCCAGAATTTTTCCATGTATCTCTTCAAACTATAAAATAAATAACAGTAAGAAAATCAAAAAGAAACTTTAAGTTCATTCACTACCATAGTTGTAGCAAAGATAACGCAAAAAAATAAGCAGTTAGTGTAATTTTACTCAGTCACCAATAATCAACATATAGCCATATGTGGTCAAAGAAACGTAAATCTGGTTCTAAGAAAACTGGAAACTTACCTTTTCTGAACACCACCACAACACTACCACCAGAAATAAAATGTTTTAAAATTAAAAAAAAAGTATACACAAAATCAAAACCCGTACTCAGATATATTTTAAAATACCACTCTGTCAAACGTTCAAGAATGAAGATACTATACAGGCGTTAAAGTTCTAATTAGTTGTGGTCATACGTACTTAAACCTGATTTTTCGGACCTAATTACTTTTACCTTGTAATAAACCCTATTCATCTTCCAGAAATAATAGAAAGTATGTCATTACGATATTTCTCTTATTGTTTCTTTATGAAGTGCAATTTGTGTTATCGTGGTCTTTTCAAATTTACCTTTAATTATAATATTATCTTAATTACTTATCCAAATTTAGTGCCATATATGAAATGCATTGTTCTATTCTCATTTATACATACTCGTTTTGTCTAAAATGAATTTAATTCATTTCCTTTGTCACCCTTTTCAACTAAAGAAATAAAGAACAATTTTTTCTGTGTCTTCATTAAGAAATCTTTATGTAAGGGAGCGTTAAAATTACTTCCTTTTTCTATTTTCATCTTGATCTTATAATGTAAATATTTTTAACTTTAGACTTATCACTTTGTTTGTGTACGGTATTATATGTTGATTCTGTTTTAATATTAAGAGCGTCTCAAAAGTAGCGAATATTACACATAATATTGTAGATATACTATAACTAGGTATAACTGTTTGGTATTTAATTACTCCACAAAAGACGTTTCAGTTACCTATTCTTATTTTCTCAAAACGAAAGCGCAGTTGATAAAAATTATGTCTTCTTAAATTACAGGATTTAACTATATCAAACTCTTCATACAACTTCAAAAAAAAACCAGCGTGATTATATTTAAGAAATGGAAATACTTAAGAATCGCGATGTGTTGAAAATGAAAGACCAAATAACTATTATTTGAAACATTTTTCCATGAAGGAGATGTGCACTACTTCATACATTCTGTAAAGGCAATGGTAGTAGCCTCTTAAAAATATTTAATTTTAATAAACCAAAGATTTACAGAATTATCCGGGTGTGAATTACCTATTCGGGAGCGAATTTTTCGAGTGCGAATGGTCCGGGTGCGAATTATCTGGGAGCGAAATGTCCAGGGTGCGAAATATCCGGGTGCGAAATATTCCGGTGCGAATTTTTTTTTTTTTTTTTTATCCCTCTCTTGTTTTTTGGGCCCTCAACAGGCATGCGCCGGAATCCGAGTGCGAATTGTCCGCACACGAGATAATACACCGTTCATTCAGTTGCTTGTTGGAGAAGCAAAAGAAAAAAAAGACATTTAAATCTTCTACCCTTTCAATCAAAACTTCAATCAATACTGCGATTAAAAACTGGAACAGATTTTGCAGCATACCTGCTTTGAACCACGTGCGTTTGTGAAAGCTTCCAACAAAAGATATGAGTCAAAGATATCTTTTGCATTTGAACCTTTAACGCTTTTTTCGCACGCTCAAGCGTGTTTTAAACAGAGATTCTGATGCAGGAATAATAAAAAAATTAATCAAATCAGTATGAACACCGCCAAAAGTTTGCAGAAACAACCTTTTTCAAAGCCCTTAGCCAAGAAACCTCGAAGGACCAAAGAAAAATAATCAAAGAGATACATGAATGAATTAAGAAATACGATTTCTGCAATGGAAAACAAGTACCCTAAATTAACGAAAAAATGTTAGTTGCAAATGAGCAGCTAAATCGAAAGAAGTCCTCAGGCGATTTGGCTCATCAAAAGCGTACGCATATTATTTACCGCAAAGTATTGAGAGAAAAAGCAAAGGACACACTGTAGATGCTTTTACCGTAGGACGTAAGAGAAAAGTTATTTAAAAAAACCGGAAAAGACTGTCAAAAATTTTGAAGCTCCCTCCCCCTCCCTCCTCTTCTCGCACAAGGTGCTCTAGGTTGAAAACTTGAGCAAATGTTAAATAACCATCCCTACACACCGAAGTTTCATTAACTCCCGACCTTTTTATATCTGAAACTACTATATACTACTCATCTATAAATAATTGCTTCTAGACATAAGTTTCTTATATAAACAATGTTATTAATTATCGGTATGGTAACGTGTCACCGGATTGCGGGGTTCGTTTTCGTGTTAGGTCAACTTTGCGTGAGCTTAAAAGCTTATTACTTAATTTCCCTAAGCCTATTTAACCTGCAAAATGCTATCGGTTTCCAACGTTTGGTATGTAACGTAAAGTTTGATATATCGTTTCGTTTCAGGAGTGCACTTCGACACGTCGAGCGCCAGTTTGGTCAACGAAATTACAACGGCAATTAAGGTCTACGCATACGGCGTGGAAGATTTTATAAACGACCCACGCAACATAAATCGGTCGCTTAATACTCAGCTATCTTGCGAAGGCGTTGGAGCGGCACGCTGGGATACGGGAGATCGTTTCTTTCGATATCTCCGCAACGTTAGCGTCGAAACGGAGGCGGGTAAACCAAACATCGAATTCACGCAAGACGGCGTTCTTCGTGCGGCGGAACTTAAGATTATGAATTTGAGGCCGGGGATAAGTAAACAGCTCGTTTGGGAGGAGGTAGATATGGCTTTTATTTAAATCCGAAATCCTTCCTTCCGAGACTTCATTTTAACACAACAATAAAATTATTCATGAACAATAGTAAATTTTTAAAACTGAAGTTATACTAAGATTCATTGTCTCCTTGCACCTTGACATTTAGTAATCAAGACTGTTCTTTAAAGTTGAAACATTTAAGCCATTTTGCTTGCAGATTGGGGTATGGAAGTCGTGGCAGAAAGAGGGTTTGGATATAAAGGATATCGTTTGGCCTGGCAACAGTCACACGCCTCCACAAGGAGTTCCAGAGAAGTTTCATCTTAAAATCACGTTTCTGGAAGAACCGCCGTACATCAGTCTATCGCCGCCGGATCCGGTAACTGGAAAATGCGCTATGGATAGGGGAGTTTCGTGCCGGATTGCATCGGATGCAGAAATTACCGAGTGAGTAACAAACGTATTAATCCTTTGTGGTTGAAATGTAAATGCGAAAAGCCAGTTTAAAAAAACATACCTGAATTTCAGGAAATTTTAGGAATGTACAAACATTCCTCGTCAATATTATCAAGACCTAATTTAATTCATCACCCACATATACATTTTCATATTTCGATTTGCGTTGTTGTGGTACCAAGAGTGGGTGGGTGTACAAACATAATAAGTAAATATTAATTTACCTCCTAACAATTTCAGAATATCTCTGTTTTTTGTTTGTTTATAATCTGCATGCCGCATTATCAAAATAAATTATAATATTCTGAACTTTCCGCGTTTTAAGGGGCTTTACTATGAGCTCATTTTGGTTAGATTTCATGTTGCAATTTTAAATATCAAGTTTCTGTGTTTAGTTATTAGCGAGGTTATTAGTATAGTTCCCAATCGGCTTTATTGGCATTCCTACTATTGGAAAAATGCAGTTAACATTATAGAAAAGTGATTTGATCCTGCCTTCCAGATAAGCAGACATATCAATCATTGGTTGGTTAACTTGTTTTAGCATTTCAGAAGACTTCATCGATAAGACGGTTCAATGCTCATTACACGAATGATACATACATCCAAAAACTACAGTGACAAATTCAGACCCAAATCCAATTAATTCAAAATTACGTACACCAATCATAAATGGGTTTCGGATTTCGATATAAGTAAAAGGAAGATTTTAGATTACCTCCTAACACACTAAGAGAGCATTCAACGAGACGTTACAACATCTCAAATGAATGCGAACTTATTTAATAAATCAGAAGAGCACGGTGTTATGTCGATCATTAAAACGATTAAACGATTAAATTTAAGTCGTTTGCTGTTGATGTTGTTGCTCCATTATGTCGTCTTTGATCCCCAACCGAGCTGGGATAGTTAAGTATGCATCCTTTACACTACAGTAATTTCTTAGGTAATGGATTAAACATGAAATTCCTACCTAGCACAGACATGAGTAATTACTCCCTAGGTAGATAAGGCCATCTCTGTCTTAAATTTTAATATGGTTTCAATAACAGGTAGGTACTGAAAACGCAGCTTATTTTGTTTTACATTTACGCAATAAATATAATGGAAACCTTCTGAGTTCGATTCCCTTGACATGAATTTTAATTGGAAATTGCTTGGATTCCAAAAACTATGAAAAAGACTGTAAAGACTGATCGCAAACTCAGAAATTTCTTTTGATGAGAATACAAAAAATACACACAATTTTTGACACCTTTAAAACCTTTGATTCTGATTTCAGTTTATTGTTCTAATAACTCCAACGGCAGCTTGCGGAAAATAAAAAACTTTGATACACTACAAATTTCTATGATGCGCAATACTCAAATTACTCAGATTTTGATCAAATTTGAAGGCTATTTTAAAAAGTGATTTCACTTAGTAAACAGAAGATTTGCTTTGAATCAGATACTTCATGAACCATATTTTTTGTGGGAAACCAACAACTGAAAATCGTTAGTACAGAAATAATTTCTTGGAGAAGACGGTATCTTCGAGAAATTAAATAGTACCAGGTAAAAAAAACAGTGAAGGCAAAGGTATAATTCCACACATAAGAAGTCCTGAGGGTTTTCTTAACGAAAGATTGCCCTTTTTTAATCTAAAAAGAGGGGCGAACGCCATGAAGACATAAACGTCGATGCATTTAAAGAATATTGTAAACAAATAAGACTAAATCAAATACAGAAGAGTTCCCCATAACATTCTAAAAGAAAGAGAACACCAAAGAATGGTAAAAAATACATCATTTCAGGATTGGAGCTTTATTATGACTATTCCTTCAGTTTTGAATACATTACCTTGTCTTATTCGTTCGTTCCCTACGTTCAGAAGCTATATGTTCAGTTTACTCGATACCATTTTAACATTTAAGTCTTGAGGAAAAATAGTCGACCTGCACGTACTGAATATTAATTCACGTTAGTAATTTATGGGGAAAATTCCATAGTTTTTACTTTATTATTTTCCGAAGCTTACATTAAACATTTTCCTAAGTGCTTCTTCTATTGAGAGACAGGAAAGCCATTAAGGGAATTCAAATAACCACAGCATTCCTTTTAAGCACACCTGCTACACTCGTAAAAAGGTTCGCTTTAACGATGCGCTTTTGTTTTATTGCATCCATGTTTCAAATTATACTAAAATATGTAATTAAAACCGTAAAAACGAGATACATTACGTATATAAATTAACTTAAGTATTGAGTTTTTGTTTGGATTGTCACTGCCATCCACAAATTTCAATCATATTGCAAAGAAACCGTTTTATTATGCTTTGTGTAGAAAATATTGAGGGGTACATTTTGGTAAATAAAGCTCTTTACGGCTCAACTTGTTTACGTAATAACATAATCATTACTGGGATACTACAAGACGCTATGATGCTATATTGCACATTAGACAAATTTAGTAGTCAACGATGTTACACCCGCGATGATGGTAACCACAAAATTATTCAAATCGGGTATAATATGTGCACGTAGTACTTCACAAAATATAATTCCTTTAGTAACTTTCTTTGGTTCCCAACGTACACCTTGTAGATGCCGTACTTTGCATTCCTACTTTTAAATGACAGTCTTTAAACAATTTCGAGTTATAGGTGCTTTTTGCTTTGTTTCTAGAATCTCTGTCTCTGTCTGTCTGTCTGCCTGCGCACAGTAAAGCTTTGCCCCTGTTTTTGTATGACTGTCACAAATCTACCTGAATTTGAGTCCATTCCGTCACTTGAACACCTTTTGTCTTCAATCAAGAGTTGGTAATAATTAGCCAGTTTACAACAACCGTCTTTTTTTGATTGAAGGGATAACGCCTACAAAGATCTTGTGGCATTTTTGCTTATATAGTGATAATTTATTTAATGTTACATGGCACCACTTAGTTGAATGTCTTTTAGGAAGTTTTATCACGTTTTTTGGTTTTCAAAATACTGTTTCTAAATGCCAAAGTCGTTACGCTACTCCGCGGTCCCAGGGCAGTCACAGAGGATATGGCTCACAGCTAGTTTTGTATTGCATTTGTTGGCAAATTGATTCTTCTTCCTTTTTAAGCACGAAGTCATGGGTAAGTCGTGTATGTCCGGTCTTCAGTCCTATTAGAATTGCCTCTTCTCCTCTAGTGATATTATTTTGGGATTCCGGGGATTTGTGTTTCGGTTTGTAGTAATTTTCGCATTACAAGTTCCATTTGTTAGTGATATGGCTTTTTATGTTGTTGTTCTTGGACCCGACTATGTGTCTCAGTGGTAGAGCGTTGGGATACATAGCGGGCAGGTCGGGTGTTCGAACCTGGGCCGAGGTAAGAATTTTTCATCTGTGCCAGAGATGGGAATTTCCTTAGATCAGTTTCGAGCATTCTGCCGGCTACTCCAAATTAGGTTTTCCTGCAGTTTTCCTAATTCGTAAGGTAAATACCGGAGTAGTATAGAACAACTAGAAAAAGCATTATGCTCTGTAATTGGGCACAAGCGGTTGAGGGCTCAGAACAAGAGAGGGACAATAAATAAAAATCGTTCCTGGAAGTGTCCTCTCTTGCTTGCTTGTCTACTTCGTAAAAATCGTATACTTTCTAGAGTAATATTATAAACATACAAGGTATATGTAAAAATGCAATTGAAAGATAATTAAATTAAATTAAATTGCGCAACGTAAACCAAATTATAAATAAATTATATAAAACGTACAAATGAACAACACAGAGATCTAAGTAATAGGAGTAATGAAAAAAAATATAAAAAATTATTGAACTTAGTAATTAGTTGTCTACGTATTTCAGGTAGAGAAGTATATTTATGTGTATTGTTATTCCCTGTGTACTTTTAAAAGACAAAATCTCTTCTGAAGAGCGCCTAATTTTATGCATCCAAAATAATTTTTGAATCAAATAAACACTTGACCTAGCACTTGACTGTCAGATTAATAAGTTTGAATATTGTTGCTTTGTTTAACAGAAAATAAATCTTTTACGCTCCTTAAACTGTTTCCGGCACTATACCAATTGACAATTTTGGCTTTATGTAGAGGCCTGGTAATTCTTTACTACATGGGATGCACTTTCTAGGGATTTTTCTTCTGTTAATTCTCTGGGGCTAACTCCATTGTTCGTCTAATTCCGACATCTCACGAGAAGAGTTTGGTTCGCTGCCTATTGAGGAAAAGGTCAGAATATATTTAATTAACATTATATTATATTATATTATATTATTAATACTTATAATTGCTGCCAGTATATATAGTTTAGTTTTAAAGGACGAATTTAATACAGGGGTTTTTATTTATAATTTGTTTTATTTTCATTTTATTTAATTTTTTTATACAAGTATATAGTGTGTATTTACGTACAGGGTGAAATAACTATAGTCCAGGCTAAATAGCTTTAAAATAATTTATTTTCAAAAAAAATTAGCTACCGGGCGAAACCGGGTTTTCCAGCCAGGTGAAATGATTTGAAATTGGGGAAAAATGATTAAAACAGCTGAATTTTTCCGCGAGTGAAGTCTCGGGGGTTGAAAGCGGTGGAAAGTGGTGTTTTGCAATTTGTGGCAAAACTATTAAATTTAGGCGAAAATGTTCAATGTAAAAGTTATAGAGAATCTTATAGCCCCACGTTAGGCGCCAAAATTTGTAACGTTCCTCTCTTCGGCTGGTCTAAAAAAAAATGGATCTGAAGGAATATATGCTCGGCAGTGATGAGTCCCGAAATTATGAAAGCTGGAATTTTTTTCGATATTTGAAAGTGCAAAAACAAGTTTCATTTGAAAAAATTAACTTGGAAGTTATTAAAGTTGACCATTAGTTTTAAATCACTGTAGAAAAGCGATCAAAATTTAAAAAAATTGCCACGTATCAGCAAGTCAGTACTATCGATTTTGGAAGACATTTTGACATTAAAGTTAACGGAGTCATAGGTACGGGGCTCACAAGAATAGCAGTCAGACGTCAAAAATTTTGAAAAA